AGTCGTTAGCTGCCATGTGGGTGCTGGGATTCTAACCCAGGTCTTCTGCAAGAACAACCAGTGTTCTTAACCACTGAGCCGTCTCTCCCGCCCTGGGCTGTAATTTTCAAACTATGCTCAGAGGATGTCTGAGGAACCTTGGGAAGGTACCACAGGAGACTGGGAAAGTGATAACTGGGGACCCTTAAGCAAGCCAGGTCCTGATTTTACCAGAACTGCTCTGCTCTCACTGTTTTGATATATTGTACTTTTGTATTAGCCTTTTATTTGAAGCCATTGACCTGTAGTGCTCAAGCTTCTTTTTTTTAAATCTTTTTTAAAATTTATTTTTATTATGCCAGGCATGGTGGCACACACCTTTAATCCCAGCACTTGGGGGGCAGAGGCAGGTGGATCTCTGTGAGTTCAAGGCCACCCTGGTCTACATAGTGAGTTCTAGGACAGCTGGGGCTACAGGGAGACCTTGTCTCAAGAAGACCAAAAAAAATTATTTTTATTTTATGTGTATGAGTGTTTTAACTGTATGTACGTTAAGTGCATCCTTGCATGCAATGCCCACAGAGGCCAGAAGAGGGCAATGGGCTCCCTGAAACAGATGTTAGGGGCAGTTGTTAGCTGCCATATGGATGCTGGGAACCAAACCTTGGTCCTCTGGAAGAGCAGCCAGTGCTCTTAACCACTGAGCCACCATCTCTCCAGCCCCATGCTCAAGCTTCTTAACTAGATAAACACACTCAGGACTGGGTGTCTGCCCTTTCCTTAGGTCTTCCTCCCCTCTCACACATGCTCTGAACCATGTGCTGACATGTTTTCCAACAGGCCACTCTTCTTAAAGCCCTGTATCATTGCACAGTTTCTCCTTTTGTTATAGTGACAGCCCTTAAAATCCATCTCAGAGGTTACTTACTTCCCTAGAAAGACCTGCCTGGCCTCCTGCATCTAGTCTCCATGCAGGACAATGTGCCCCTACATGTAAATGGATACTTTAGCGCCTGCAATCTGCCCTGCCCTGGCCAGTCTGTGGCTGTGATTCTCTCCTACTAAGAATTCCAGAGACTAGGCCCTTGAGCATTCTCAGCAACCACAGGAGCAAATGGGGAGGAGTTACTGAATGTATGAATGAGGGAGGCCATGAGAGGAAAAGAAGGAAACAGGAAATGCACAGATGAATGAGTGACAGATTATATGACATGATTCCAGCCAAGAACTCTGACTCCTGTGTTTTACAAAGGCAGCTGCCCTGTTTTCCTGACAGGAGAGAAGAAGAGCAAAACACTTTGTCCAGGTAAGATTCTGTCTTCTGGGACCATCCAATAAAAGGAATAACATGTCTTTTTTATGCCCTATTTTCCCCTCAACCTGCTCTTTGATTTAGCGAACATAGTAGAGTGGGTGGCTCATCTGGGCCTCTTCCATAATCCTGGGCTTGAGGAGAGTAGTCAGGTCAACCAGGGCTGCTTCTTTCATGCTTGACCTTGGGCTATCTAGGCTAGCAGGGCAGGGCTCTAAAGTCTCTGGAGACTTCTTCCTCGGACCTGGAGAGAGTTCCATGTACCTGGAGGTAATAAATTGGGAGGTGGACTTTTGGATGTCAGGGCTCCTGTATTTACAATCTTGAGAAGAGTGGGGTAAGAAGGCATATAGTTGGAGGGCTGCCTCCTTCCCAGCATCTGCCCCAGGCTCTGGGTTGAAGGTTAAAACTGAGAAGACACCATGTCCCTAGACCTGGGCAGCCTGATCTCTGCTCAGGCCTGTTTAGAGCTCAGATCTAGTTCTTGGGGTAGTAGATCAAGGTGCATAAAAGGTTGGTACACAGAACCTTCCTGAAGACTGAAAGGGTAGGAGGGCAGAGAAAGACAAGAGCCCCTCCCTTGTATTACCTGATGAGCCCAGAGACTTTGGGCAACTTGAGGCAGTAATCCAACCTCAGATTTTCCCTGACCTGCCCATGGGGAGGTCTTCAAGACACAGTGAAGGGCCTGGTCCCAGAGTGAGACAGCCTTGCCTACCTTGTTAAGCCTATCTGGAGAAGCTCAAGAACGTACATCACTTACCAGACCCTCCAACCCCATGCAGAGGGCAGGCAACAGGCAGTATCAACCTGTCTAAGAACATCTCCAAATCTAGCCCAGGTGGCAAGGGAGAACCCCTGTGGGGTCCAGGAACCTTAAAGATAAGGACCTGTACAGGCCCTGAAGGCTTCCAAGTATGGCCTCTGAGGTAGCGGAGGCACCCCTTGGCAGACAGATAGGGCTCTCCTAACAGGAACATAAGGGCAGCAGACTCTTATGGAAACCTTTTTACCTCCAGATTCTTGCCTTTTGCCCTTCTCTGTCCCTTCTTACAACCAGTTCCTGGGCCTTTAAGCTGGTACCTGCCTTCCCCAGTCCCTTACTTGTGACTTCCCTGGGGTCCCACCTCCATGGTTCCCAAGCGCACATGCTTTTCCCATCAGGTCCCAGGCTGACCTGCCACACAGGGTCCGTATGCTTGCCAGACTTGGATGTGCTGCGGAAGCAGGGCTGCAAGTGAGGCTTCTTGAGGTTGTAAATGGCTACATTGCCATCGTAGTAGCCCACGACCACCAGGTAGGGGTGGTCCATATGCATGTCCAGACACATGATGCCACTCTCACTGCTGAAGATGTACTCAGGAAAACTGGGGTTCTTCATGCTGTAGAGTAGCAGCATGCCCCGGCTCTGCTTCATGAAGTCATCTACCCAGGGAAGATGAGAGGCTACAGTTCAGGATTTACCTGTTCTGTCAGGGGGGGCCCCTTGCCTGCACCCCACTAGATGGGCAGGCTCTGCCTGGCTCTGACTGGCAGAGAACCTGGGACTCCTCTCTGGCTTTCATTTTCTGACTGTGAAATTTGGCCATCCCTTCTGACAGACAGACCCAACAACCAACCAGTAAAAGTGGGAAAGCTGATCTGGGACAGTCATTCTCTGTTTTCTCTGGGGCACAGACACATAAGCTCAGAGAGTTGCTAAGTGAAGAATGTGAGTGGATCGGGAAGGTGTAGTAACCTTAGCAAGGATTTGAATGCCCAGCTCAGGGGTGGGCTGCTATATAATACACACCTAGACAGTACCCATGTCCCACCCAAGTCCTTAACCAAGGACAGGGACTAAGCACGCTATTGTCTAGGTAGGCCTGCTGGTGTAGCCCAACTACTCAGAAGCTGAGACAGGAAGATTGCAAGTCAGCCTGGAAAACTTGGTTTAGACCCTGTCTCAAAATAAAAATTTAAAAAAGGAATGAGAAGGAGGAAAGGAAGAGGGAGGAGAGAAGAAAAAGAGGAAGAAGAACAGGAGGACGATGACAGTGAAGCTGGGGCTGGGGGTAGGGACGTTGGCTCAGCAGTGGTGAACTTGCCCTGGTTTCAATACCCAGCGTACTATTGTTTACAGTGAGCCCCATACCAATCCCTATAAGCATCTTCTAACTCTAACTCCAAAGTTCCTAGGAGTAGCCTGTGCCCTGGTTCTAGGTCAAGCAAGTCTGGCTTCCACAGGCCCATTCAGCCTGAACACAGATTTTGGTGATCAACAACAACCCTCTCTGCAAAAGTTCTCTTCCCTACCTGCCCCACGTAAAAAACACACGGTCCCATTCTCACTCTCATTTTTCTACACACTTGGTGACCACCCTGAAATGCAGCCATTGAGCAGCACACAAACCCAATCCTCCTGTCCAGCTTTCTTGCCACCAATCCAGACCTCCTGCCTTCCCAAGCTCAGAGGAGCCAGAGCTGGAGAGGTGGAAGGCTAGTGTGATAGTCCCCTACCTCGCATCCTTTTGGCCTTTCTACCTTCCTTACTCCAGTGCTTCCTTTTTTGTGCCTGATAGCTGCAGAGCCATGAATAGCAAAGCAGTCAGACACAAGATGTGGAGCCCGTGGTTGAGGGAGATGGGGAAGCAACCCCAACTTGACTAGTTTTGCTGAGTCTCTCTGTCTTGTTTCTAAGGCTCTCCCTTACTAAGGGAGTAAGCATCTCAGTTGAACTCAGGGACCTTCTGGACCAAGGTCCCTAGATTCATGACATGACTTCACCTACTCTACCAGATCCCAGTTATCCCCACCCCAGAGACACTACATAGACCAGGTCTGTGGGGAAGCTCATCTTCCCTTGCTGGGGCTAATCATCACAAGCTCTGAGGCTCTGCTCAGGAACCCCTCTCTAGATCACTTGTAAGGGAGCCAAGCATACAAGGAGGGGCTGCACTTACAGTGGAAGTTTCTAAGGTCCACCCTGAGCCTGGAGAGGGCACTGTTGTTCAGGAGGGAAAAATGCTTCTGCCCTGGGGAAAGTGAGCCTTCTGGCAACCATGAATAGCTCAAGATGCCCTGTAGCCAAAGCCACAGTAGGGGGCTACCTTGAGGTAGGGAGGAAGGAGCTGGCAGTACCTTACCCTGTGAGACTTCCAGGTAGGCCCAAGGGTTAATTCTCCATGGGAGGAGATCAACAACTAGCTGAAGGAATTGCCATTCCTGCCCAGAACATGAAGGATTGGAACTGGGCAGTATGACCTTCACACTAGCTCCTTTTATTCATCAAGCAAATCCTAAACACCTGACCTGCTCCTCCTGCCCTCCCATTCCCTCATCCTTGGTGCATCCTGCAAGGTCAGAGATACTCCACCGCTAGGTCTTCCAGCTGAGAGAGTAATTACCCAGGTAACCACCAGGCCAGAGATAAGCCACTGGGGCTCCTGATTCTACTTTGCACTGACCAAGATTGATAAAAGGTAGGAGGTGGACAGACAAGTAAGAGGGAGAATGAGAGACTAAAGCAATGGGTGGTCAAGCTGAGGCCTGGTCCCTTAATGGGCAGCAGTGATGAGCTACTTTCTCTAGACAAACTCCTGTAGACATGCACAGTATTCGTGACCAATGAAGCCAGGAAAGGCGGGTAGGGAGTCCTAAGGCTGGCTTAGTAACTCTACATGGAGGACATCTCTGACCCACTTGCTGAACCACTGGCAGCTGGAGTCATGACCTCCTTTTTTTTTTTTTAAGGCAGGGTCTCACTGCCCTGGCTGGCCTAGAACTCACTGTGTAGGCCAGGCTGACCTCTGTGTAGACCAGACCAGGCTGACCTCAAACTCACAGAGATCTGCCTGCCTCTGCCTCCTGAGGGCTGGGACTATAGGTGAGTGCCACCAAGCCTGTGGCCTAATGGGAAAACTTAGGCTCAGAAGAGAAATAGTGTACTTGAGTGCATAATATATGTCACATGGTGTTTGTCACACCTAATATCCTTTTTTTTTTTTTTTTTTTCGTCTTTTTGAGGCAGGGTCACCCTGTAGCCCCAGCTGGCCTGGAGCTTACTATGACAACACTGGCCTTGAACTCACAGAGATTCGCCTGCCTCTGCCTGCCGAGTGCTGGGATTAAAAGCATTTGCCACCATGCCTGGCAGCACCTAATATCCTTTAATAGCTGAAACTATCTTTTGCTGGTAATCTGGTTATTTATTGTATGTGTGGGGAGGGCGTACATGTGCTACAGCATGCCTGGGGGGGTCAGAGGACAGCTTGAGGAGCCAGTTCTCTCCTACTATGGAGTCCAGGAATAAAACAACTTAGTTCATTGGACTTGGTGGCAAGTGGATATATCTCCTGAACCATCTCTCCAACTCTGGTAATCTGGTTTTTACATGGAGGTGGACAAAGGAGGGGAAAGAGCCAGACCTAATAGCGCTGTGGTTATTAGCAAAGCCAATACAAACCTTCCAGGTTCTAGACAGTGTGTAAGAGACAGGGCAGTCAAGCATAACAAAGAGAATGACTGTGCAGAGAAAATCAGGGATTTTATGAAGGAGGGACACAAAGAACATCCAATCTCTAATTCCCAGGTCACTTGCATGCTGGAATTAAGCCTTACTTCCTCAGTTTAGCTTTAGTGGTCTCTGTTACTTGAAACTAAATGAGTCCTCCTTTATACAGAGATCATAGTTCTTAGCCATGGTTAGCATATGTGTTTGTGAATTTTAGTTCAAGGCTCTTTCTGCCAAACCACAACAGGAAAGCAGATAAAAACCTCATTTAACTGGGGTTCCTCTTGACTCTCTAATATTGTAAACTCCTGATTCTTGAAGTCAGTGGCCCCCTGAGATCTCATGACTCAATTTTTCAGGTATACCCAGTGTGATCATAGCCCAAACCCCCAATAGTCTCAGCATGATTTCATCATCTTCTCTTCTAGAAACCCTTTATTGACATTATTACTCAAACAACCAGTGAATGGGCTGTTAGTGTCATCATTGCCCAGTCTTCCAACATTCCTAGTATGGTATCACCAGCCAGGGCACCAGCAACCTAAGGATTGCTAAGCCACCCAACATTTGCAGTACATCACTAACAGGTCACCAGAAATACAGTATGATGTTAATATCATATAGAGCCTCAGTTACCAATGAGATTGGAAGCTTTGGGTCTTGGTCCCTGGGTACTTTATTCTTCCTTTTAAAAAAAGATTTGTAGTTTATGTGTATGTGTATTTGCCTGCATGTAGGTATGTGCACCACATGTATGCAATGCCCATGAAGGCAAGAAGAGTTCGTAGGAGCCCCTGGAAATGGAGTTGCCAGAGGTTGTAAATCACCATGTGGGTGCTGGGAACTGAACCCAGGTCCTCTGCAAGAGCAGCAAATGCTTTTAACTGCTGAGCCATCTCTCCAGCCCTGGGTACTTTCTTCTTAATGCCATAAGCTTCCTAGTTCCAATTACCCAGCTGGGACCCCCAGCTTCATCTTCCATTTTATAACAAGGTGAAGACTCTAGTCTGGGGCCAGTAAAGAAATTTTAGTGTTCTCTAGACTATAGGGCTCCAGAACTATGTGTGACTGGGTATAACAAAGAGGAACAGAGGAAAGTAAAGATCTAGGAATGAGAAAATCTACTAGCCTTTGAAGATGGTCTCTGAAAAGCCTTCCAGACTTTTCAACCACCAAGGGCTTTGCCTTCTGAGAAAGTGCTATTTCCTACCATCAACAGGTCATCCTTAACCATGAAAGATGGAGAAGAACGGATGTCAAAGATGGAGCACACGCTGACTTATTCTTTCTGATAATGGAGTCTGCTTCCTACTAACTCTTCTCTACTTCATAAGCACTAAGGCCTCCTGACTCTCCTCTTCAAGGTTTGGGGAGGAGAATCAGCTCCTATTGATAGAGCCTCATTTGGCAATTCTCAGAAACCCAGAATCTCAGGAAAGGGGAAAGTCTCTTTCTCTCTCTCTCTCTCTCTCTCTCTCTCTCTCTCTCTCTCTCTCTCTCTCCCCCCCCCCCCCCCCGGGTGTGTGTCTGTGTCTGTGTCTGTGTCTGTGTCTGTGTTTCAATACTGGGTATTGATCTAGGCAAGTACTCTTCCACTGAGCTATATCCCTAGCCCTCTTTTTACTTTTTATTTTGAAACAAGGTCTCACTAAATTGCCAGACTGGCCTTGAACTCACTCTGTAACCCAGGCCATGGACTTGCAATCCCCCTGCCTCAGCTTCCTAAGTAGCTGGGATTACAAGTCTATACTACCAGGCCTGGCTTCATTTGCATGTCTTTTTAAAAAATATTTTATTATTTCTATTTAACGTGTATGAATGTATTGCCTGTATGTAAGTACACCTGTGTCATGCCATGCCCACAGAGGTCAGAAGAGGGCATTGGATCCCCTGGAACTGGAGTTACAGACAGTTGTTTACTGCCATGTGGGTGCTGGGAACTAAACCTCTGCAAGAACATCCAGTGCTCTTAACCACTGAGCCATCTCTCTGGTCCTCATGTGCATGTCTTGGTCTTTTGGAGACAAGGTCTCCCTGTAGCCACCGCTGGCCTCGATCTCACAAAGATCCATCTGCCTCTGCCTCCTGAGTGCTGGGATTAAAGGCATGCACCACCACGCCTGGTGGATTGATATCTTCTTAAACTGGAATCCATCACTGGGGGCCTCAAACTCATAACCTCCACCTCTATCTAGCACAGCTTTAGGTCTGGGGGTGGGTGCACATTGTAGAACATTCTGGATGTCAGAAGAACTCCTACTTAGGACTCAAGGAGAGCAAAGCACTCAGAGGGCATGTTGGGGCATGAAGCTAAGGCCAGGTCAGTGGTCAGTAGGAAGTCACTGCAGAGACAAGGGTACCATGCCAGCCTTGGCTGGCAGGCTTCTTCTCATACTGTAACATCCTAAATGAGGCCAGCCTAGGACTGGCTCCAAGGCAGCAGCTGTTTGATGACTCCCTTATTAAGTAATGTTAAAGGCACTTGGAGGGGGCGTGCAGTGGGCAGAATAATGCCCCCCCCAAATGTCCACACCTTAATCCCCAGAACCTATAAATGTCACTTTGCATGGCAAAAGGGACTTTGCAGATGTGATTAAGTTAAAGACCTTGAGATGGGGAGATTATGTTGGATTATCTGGGTAGATTTAATGTAATCACAAGAGTTCTTATAAGGAAAGGAAAGAGGCAAGCAAGTCAGAGAACCAGACATGACGGCAGAAGCCGATGTCAGGATGATGCGATTGCTGTCTGGAAGAGGGCCACAAGCCATGGAATGCTGGCAGCCACTAGAAGATGAAAACGTAAAAAGAAGCAGGTGCTCTCTGAGAGAACACAGCCCTGCTGATACCTGATTTTCACTCAATGAAACCAATCATGAACTTTTGAACCCTGTAAATCAGAAAAGAAATCTGTTGCTTAAGCCATTGTCATTGTAGTCATCCGTTGCAGCAGCAATAGGAAATGAAGATTGGAGACATTCAGGGAAAGGTGGCCCAAACTCTACTTTTAGGAATCAGAGCAATGGTACTTTTTTCTGCTGTGATTTAGAAGCACTTCTAGAAGTCAGAGGGTATAGTGTGGTCTTCAGCTCTTCTGACAACAGTGAAACACTCTCTCAATTTTCCACACCCCAGCCCTGACACCTTGGACTCCAGGAACAGAAATGCCCCCTTGTGTTGGGATTTTCAACATTTCCAGAGGCAGGGGAGCAGCCCAAGGCTGGCTTGAGAAGGAGCATTGGTCCCTGGTGGGTTCCAAACCTCAGACGTGGCCCTGAGGCCTCAGAGCCCAGCTGGGTCCAGGTTCTCCAGTAGTGGGCCTTTCCTTTCTCATTGAATTGGAAGTCATGTTTAAACAGTGCGGGAAATAAGAGCAAGGTCTTGGAGACAGAATACATCAAGTGGGACATTTAATTTGATTTAGGGAAAATGAGGCAAACATTTGAGAACCTAAATAACTAACCAGTAATTAAACCAACAACCAATGCCCTTGCACTACAACCCAGCAAGCACAGTGGCCTTTATGGACTGTATTTACAAAGAGACCTGACAACATAATTAGTCCTGTAAATTTTATGCAGCCTGCAGCTGAGGAGTGATGGATTTTGTGTGTGGAGGATGAACGGGGAGAAATGAGGTGGATGAATTTCCATTTTCAGTAAATGAAATTAACATTGCTTAATTAGTGATGCTGACAAATAAATGACCGGGAAAAATTTAAAACCTTATGAGTATGTCTCTGGCCTGAGAAAGTTCAAGGGACAGAGCAGCAATGAGTTTAGTGTTAGGAGTCTGGGGCTGCTCTTGGCCTCTTTTGAGGGTGCTGCCCCAGAGAAAGGATAGGCTAAAGGTCAATTAGCTCCCTTGCCCTCCAGTATGTGATCTGCTGGGACCCTTACTGCCCTATTTCCTGTGGGATAGCCTCAGGATCATGCAGTTTCTAGGATCCATTCTGCCATCTCTGCCTGACAGACCATAAGGAGTTTCCATTTCCCTGCTATGAGCTGGCTAATGAACTGGAAAGGACCCCTCTAGTATAGCAGGCTGGCATAATTGCATCTAGCCTTTCTGGCTGCCTCTTCCTGAACCAGGTCCCTTTGTCTCTGGTATCCCACCACCTGCTTTCAGTTGTTGACACTTTCTTCAGTGTTCTGGAACATGGAGTCTGGACCTACACGGCAACCCCCATCTCTGCCCTTTAAGTGGCCTAGTATGCTAGTACAGGAAGCCCTAGAGAGAAGGCAGGTGTGGCTGCTTCTGTGAAGTTGTAGACAACTACCTACATAGCCTTTTCTCTACCTACTTGCTCCTGACCTGATTCCAGACAGTATGCCCTGTCCTGAAGATGTGATAAGTCCCAGTTCTTCCTACAGTATATGCCTATACTATCAAAGTGTTATGTGGCTAGGTCACAGAATAAACATCTAGGGATTCCAGGGAAAAGGAAGCTTAAGAGATCTGAACTGAGCTTACTGGGGTCAAACCCTAAATTCTCATTCTGTTGTTTGCCCTCAGGCAAAAAAAAAAAGTTTCTGGGGGTTTGGTATTTGGGAGTTTTCAGAGTCTGTCCAGATGTTGTTCCTCACAATGACCCTGGCCAGCAAATAGGGTGCCCTCTGCCTGCTTCAACCTGAACTCTCCCTTCTATGGAGGCAAGAGCACGGGCTTCCCCAAGGTGACCTCAGGAGCAAATTTGGGAGAATTCCTGAGGTCCACCCCAGGCTGACTCTGCTTAGGCTTCTGAAGGTAGTTCTGTTAGAGATGCTCATCTGAAAGCTGGTCAGTAACTCCTGTGCTAGTGACAGCAGCAAATACCACTGCCTGCGTGCTGGTCCCTAAGAGAGATTCCCCTAGCTCCCCCCTACTCTGCCCAGGCCCCCAGAGGGGTATGCAGGGAAGTCAAGGGAGAGAATGATGAAGCAGTAACAACTGGCCTTTATCTGTAAGCGATCCTACAGCTTGCAGGGCACACTATTCACTCATGTGGGCTGCCTAATGACTCTGGGATGGAGGCCTGGCAGATGGTCAGTCTCGTCATGTCACCAATGAGGAAACCAAGAGTCACGGTACATCACTGAGAAGCGATCCTTCAGGAGGAGGTCTTTGGCTACCAGTGAGCTCCACTGAGGCATATGGTTGGCATATGGCCTTAAAGGACTAAGGAAGGACAAAGAGACCCTTCCTGGGTAACTGCTTGCCCAAAGGATGCCACTGAGCCTGTCAACTCAAGCCATCCACTTGTGGAAGGTGGTACCCTTCTCTACTGTTCCTAAGGTGGCTAATACCCATGGATGACCACCATGTGACCTCAACCAGCTGACATGGCTTTTAACCTTGGCTAGAAGAAGATGGGTTGGAATTTATAGAATTTCTTCTCCCACCTCTGGGGTGACTCCCACATCCTCACCTCAGTCTCAAGCCAAGAGGCCTGGGCTAAGAACAGTGTGACATGGGGGGGGGGAATCCACACCCATTCCTGGGAGGGTCCACCCAACCCCCAGGCTCTGTTCCAGGCCCAGTAGCTACAGCAGAGAGGGAGGAATGTGCTAGTTCCCTGCCAGAGGGGGAGGGTGCTTCCCATTTGGCAACAGCCCACCCTCAGGAGTAGGGACACAAAGCAGGCATTTAGGGCATCCTCAAAGGCAGCCCAGACCACAAGGTTGGGACCAGCTCCAAGGTCTCCTCCCTGAGAGGAATGACAAACACCAACTCCTCCTCGGCCCCCTTTGCTTACATCCCCTACCCTGGGCAAAGAATGGGCAAGCAGGAGCTCTAAGGGGCAGTGATCAGGAGCTTGTATGCCTGCCAGCCAGCAGCAGCTTGGAGAACGCAGGGGTTTCTCTGTTTGTGGAAGTGGTTCCTCCCAGCCAGAGAAAAAGCTGTTAGCAGTGGGGAGCTGTGCCTGACTTGATGTGTAGGAACCTTCCCATTAGGAAGGAACAGGAAACACCCAGGCCAGATCAGCAGTAGGAGATTCTGGTTGGCCCAGGTAACATGAAATAGCAGCAAACTGCCTAGACACAGTTACCACTGTGTGCTGCCTCCTGCCTTCAGCACGTCCTGGCAGGGGCAAGAAGAAACACCTGGATAGCCAGAAACAGAGGGCTGAACTTCAAACATTTGCCTCATCTCCCCTCTACCCTGGTCAGGAAAGCCAGGTGAAGAGGCTGACAGAAATCTTCCATCCCACTCCCCAGTATGGCTAAGGTCCTTCCCTCTCTCCTTGGCACACCTGTACCAAGTCTCCTAGCCACTGGTTTCAGGTCTACAATTCCTTCCTGCACTGGACATGTCCCTGCCGTTCTGGAATTCCTTCAGTGGTTTCCCCTCGGGAGGTCTAGCCTTCTCAAAACGACTCACCAAGCCCTTTGAGGGCTGACCTTGGGCCCCTCAACAACTTCCTTTCCTGCCATATCGCTTCTGCTTGCAGGCTTGTCCCACACTGGCCCTCTCTGTCTTTGAGGCTCGATTGGCATATTCAGCTTTATATATTCCTTTGCCTATCACTAATTGCCCATATGATTGTGGGTCTTCCCCATTAGACTATGAGCTCCCTCTGAGGCCACTGGCTGTGTCCTAGTCATCTTGGTATTTCTCATACCTGGCAAAGAGGAATCTGGTACCTGCTATTTGCATTACCGAATGAACGAAGACCTAGATTACTTACAGGAGCCGTGTCCCACTGCAAACAGATCCTTGTACTTTGGATTCCTGCAAAAGAAATATGAACCCATTGACACAGAAATGGACATGGTCCTCCCATAGTCATGAACTTTCCCATGGGCACTACACAAAAGACAGATGTCCAGCTTAGATTCTTGCCAATTGCGAGACCCTATATGGTCCTAAAATCCAGTAAGAATCCAATCCTGTTTTCCTTCACTGTGCCACGTGTCACATTCAAGGTGTTAAGTGTAATAGGAGGGGCTGCTCTGGACTTGGCACGCTGTGGGCCGTCTGGGGCTCTAGGTTTGCTGCAATGTCTGTACTCACCAGCAGAGGGCAGTGACAGCCAGGCGCTTGGCTTTGTCATTTTGAAACTTCCAGAGAGGCAGCAGCGTACCCTCCTGGTCTCTGTATTCATCAGCAGTATCTTCATAGTACTTAAAATCTTGAATACAAACAGACACAGTCAGCCTGGGGACCAACACGTTGCAGAAAATCTAGGCCCACTTCTTTTTTATTATTTTTATTTTATGTGTATGAGTGTATTGCCTACATGTATGTGAGTGCACCCGTGTCGTGCAATGCCATGGAAGTCAGAAGAGGGCTTCGGATTCCCCTGGTACTGGAGTTAAGGACGGTTTGTAGCTGCCATGTGGGTGCTGGGAATCGAACCTGGTCCTCTGCAGGAGTAAGCAGTGCTCTTAACCATTGAGCCATCTCTCCAGCCCCATGTTTCATTTCTTTAGTGTGTCCTCTTCTGTCCCTTTGCTTTTCATCTCAAGATCTCAGTGCCTCCCCAGGTCCTCTGCAAGAACAGTCAGTGCTCTTAACCGCTGAGCCATCTCTCCAGCCCCATAGGGGCCACTTCTTATTGCTGATATCTCATAGGGCAACATAATGAATCTTTGTCTGGGACTGGGATTAATAGAAGCACCTATCTCAAAGGATTATTGTGAGAATATAGATTGAGCTAATATATGCAAAGTGCCTAGAAAAATGTCTGGCATATAAGCTACTTCTGTATATTAGTTGTTGGAGGAAAATTCCAACAAAGCATCCGTATGCACATAGACAGAATCCCAGCTTGCAACTCTCATCCTCATGAGCTTTCTCAGTGCTTTGGAAGGCTCTTATTGGAATGACCAGATTTCAAGAGTTCAGCTGCCAGAGACTGATTAATAGTTCCATTCATTCTGCTTCCTAAATCCCTAAAATACAGCCCAACTTTATATCCACTGCCAAGCTTCACTGTAATGAAGCCGCCTGGACCCCCTATGGTTCCCCAAGCTCAACTTAGTCTTCAAAGTCGCCTTCCCTTTTCTCTAGTGAGGAGAAAGCTTCATCTTTTCACTTATCTAAACTAAAAATCTGGGTAACACTTGACTGATCTCTTTCTACCATTTCTTATATTTTCTCCTGTCATTTTAATCTATTCATTCTTTTTTCTAAACTCATAGCTACTGCCTACCTAGAGGTCCCTAAATCCATCACTTAGCTATTGCTGCCTTCCTCTTCCTCCTCCTCCTCCTCTTCCTCCTCCTCCTCTTATTCTTATTCTTATTCTTATTCTTCATTCGTCTTTTTGAGACAGAGTCTCCCTGCAGCCCCAGCTGACCTGGAACTTGCTATGTAGACCAGGCTGGCCTTGAACTCACTGAGATCTGCCTGCCTCTGCCTCCCAAGTGGTGGGATGCTATTGCATTCTTCTAATGGGTCTCTCTACATCCCTCCATAGCCCCTCCTTGGTCCCTGTTCCTCAGGACTAGCAGATTGAGAGAATCTTTACCACACCACCACCCCCATGCCACTGAAACCTCTTAACATTCTCGTTGAGCAAGAGCTTTCTGGTCAGACCATGGCTCTTGACCACCACTTCCAAGTCCTTTTTATCCAACTGTCCTTGTGCCCTCTCAACCAAATACTGCCAATGAGTTTTTGTCTTATGTTTCTGTGTGTGTCTACATGCTTTCCCATGTCTACAACACCTTGCCTTGTCTGACACATTCCTACTCCTTATCTGATTGACCACCCCTTCTTCTGCAAGGTCTGCTTTCTTTTTCCTTTTCTTTGAAAATGGAATCCTACTTGCAAAGCCACAGCATGTGTTGCTTATCAACTCTCTGTAGGGAGAGCTGCAGAGGGATGGGGCTTGATTTGGAGAGGAGGGGGGCACATTAGAGGGCCTGTAACCTATTATGACTATATTGTCCAAGCTAGAGTGGAATTTCTGGGCTCAAGTGATCCTTCCCCTGAGCCTTCTAAGGATCTGGCACTGCAGATTTGTGCCATTACATTGAACTTTTTTTTTAAACCAGGGTCTGGATCACACTATGTAGCACAGGCTGACCTGGAACTCGTAACAATCCTCCTGCCTCAGCAGCCTGAATGCTGGCATTACAGGCTTGAGTCACCACATCCAGCTCTTTTGAGTAGTTGATTCCTTTCTCTATTCCAGCCCTATCTCTCCTCTACTGAAAACATCTGTCACAGTCTTTTTGCTTGTCTTTATGCCACACAGCTCCTAGACAGTAGGAACTATGTTATACTCATCTCTGAGTCCCCCAGTGGATAGCACAGGGACAGTCACGGGGCAGACACCCAAAGACTTTTCAAAGAATGCAACGGAATAAAGCAATGGAAGAGAGATGGTGCTGGGTCTTCTTTCAACCAGGATGACCAATTAGAATGAACCCTTTCACCAATATGGTCAAAGGCATGGCCAGGACATTGCCCCAGCCCCTCTCACAATGCCCCACACCTAAGGCCATAGGACTATGTCCAGCCTCAGAACTGTCTTGGAACAAAAGAAGATTTGAGTGGTCAGAAAGGCCTGAGCCTTGATCACATCAAGATTCCTGAGTTTGGGGTAGCTTTGAAAACATCTCATTTCAGTGCGGAGATTAATTGGTAACACTTCTCTATTTTCACTTCTCCTTCATGATTACACTTTCCCAAAGGCAAAACACTATGCAATTAAAAAAATCAAAGTTCAATGCATTTTTATGTGACTGTGTTCTTATAAATGAAAGTAGTTCACAAGGCCAGTTCCTCCATGGATATTAATCAGGTTTGCAGCCCTTTGGAGGGCCACTTGCAGAGGCTGGGTTGCAGGAAGCCAAGCTGTGTGAGTGACAAATTCATTCACAGCTGCTGTGTACTTTGACAGCTTTGAAAAGCACTCAAGGTCGTTTTCCAGTCTGAATGATAACTAGGGGGCTTGTTTAGGCTGCTGGTCTTGGCAGCTTTAGTTTCTGTGTCCCACGGGTGAGCCATGAGCATCAAGTCACCAAGAAGAGCCCTGGGCTGTCAGCAAAGAAGACCAGCCAGCAGCATGGAGTTGCCAACTCTGGGGAGGCAGCTGCTCCAAATAAATGCACAACCTCTTAGGGAAATACAAGCCACTTGGGAATGTGCTGTTCATACCATGGGAAGGATTCCGTTTCTTTGGCACTGTCAAAGACACCAGAATTTCCCAAGCCCCCAGAACTGAAGCATTTCTGAATCAATCTCTTTCTTCACCTCATCACTAATTAATCACCAGGATAGATCTATTGAGTGTGTTCATTTGAAATTGCCCCCTCCAGCTCAGTGGCTATGTAGCCCAGCAGAGAAGTGTTTAGGCAAACTATCCACAGGGCTTGTGTTCGAGTTCTGGCTCTACCGCTCACAGCTCCTGCTAGCTGTGACTTTGAACAAGTGACATCTTAGCTTGAGTTTCTTGTGTATAACATGGGACTAATAATGTTATTCATTTCAAGTGTAACTGTCAGGAGAGAAAAATAGTATGTACAAATTTGCACAGCCCAATGCCAGCACATGGGCCCTTTTCAGCGAGCTCTGGTGCTTGTTTTTCACTATTTTAACTCTCTTTTTGCTCCATTCCTTATACTGATGGCATGGCAAAGCTTGTTCCACCCCATACCATCACCTCTGCCCCTATATTCTACCCAATTACAATCTCCTCCAGCTCTGCTCTCATTGGATTTTGTCTCTGCCTGGCACCTGGCAGGTGTTGGTTTCTCTCAACTGTCTATTGAAAACACTCAGAAACCCAGGTAGTATTCAAGGCTCTTTTAAAACTGGCTCCCAGGCCAGGCATGGTAGCATACTCCTTTAATCCCAGCACTAGGGAGGCAGACTGTTCTCTGTGAGTTAGAGACCAGCCTGATCTACACAGAAAGCTCCAAGCCAGCCAGGGCTGCATAGTGAGACCCTGTCTCAAAAAACAAAAAACAAAACAAAGAAAAAACAAACAAGCAAACAAAGGGAACTGGAGAAGTGGCTCAGCAGTTAAAGAGCACTGGATGCTCTTGCAGAGGACCGGGGTTTGTTTCTCAGCACCCACATGGTAACTAATGACCACCTGTAACTCCAGTTCCAGGGAATCTGATCCCCTCTTCTGGCTTCTGCAGGCATTGCACAGCATAGGTGCACTTACATACATTCAAACAAAACATTCACTCATACTACATAAAATAAAAATAAATTTAAAAAAACAACAGTAGCAACAACAACAACAAAAAAACCCTGACTCAAACCACCTCTTCAGCCTGAACTCTTTTTTAAAAAATATTTTATTATTTTTATTTTATGTGTATGAGTGTTATGCCTACATGTAGGTAAGTGCACCTGTGTCATGCAATGCTGTCAGATCCCCTGGAACTGGAGTTATGGACAGTTGTTAGCTGCCATGTGGGTGCTGGGATTCAAACCCGGATCTTCTACAAGAACAGTCAGTGTTCTTACTGCTGAGCCAACTCTCCAGCCCCCCGTCTGAACTCTTACCATTTCCCAACAACTTCTGTTTGGGTCCATGAGCCTGCTGCCCCCTGTACCCAGAATCCATTCCTGATCTTCCTCATCACTGAGTCACTACTCATGCCATACCCTGCCAAGATCACCGTCCTCCTGCTATCCTCTCACTCAGACCTCTGCTTATCACCTGGCACCTAGCTCAGTCCTCTTAAGCCATCCTTGACCTTTCCTGCTCATCCTTTATTTCTCTTTTGCTCTTCTTCAAGGGGCCCCAGAGCAGTTCCTATCTGTTCTGTACATTCTAGCATTGGCATCCCCAAGCCAACTGAGTGAAGACAAGAACACAAGCTCAAGACCTAAATGTAGGTTCTCCTGGCCACTCACTGAACAGATAGCTTTGGCCTTTGCTCCTTCATGTGCAAAGTCAGAATAATCATCTCTGCTCTGCCTGCTTCCCAGGGCCATTGGGAGGATTGGATCCCTATTGTGCAGGTCATTTTGCTGCACCACTGTCAGATCCCATCACTGCACCCATTGTTCCTTTATTCATGGATAACCTGCCTAAAGTCTTAGCACTTCAAGGACATCCAGGGGAGGAAGGAGTTTTTTCCCTCCCCTTTCACTGTAGAACTTAGCATGGACTACTCAAATACTAGTCTTTTATGAGGGATTTTTGAAATCTTACCCTGAGCAACATCATCATATGTGTTCTGGTTGACCATCCGCTCCACAATTTTAGCAGCTTGGGACACTTTGGAGATATCATCACTCTGTGGGGATACAGAAACCACATGTCTTCATCAGCTGGCACCTGGCAAGGTCATATGCCTGAGCCAGAGCCCAGATTTGCAGTTGGTTTAGCAATGTCACCCTGGGGTTACCTATCCCAGTTGACTCAGAAATGGTTTACTGTCCACTTTACCCCCAACCACATTCCAGGAGCCCTTCCCTTCCTTCACAGGGGAACAGGTTCAGTTCCCAGAACCCATACTGGGATGCTCATAACCACTTGTAACTCCAGCTCCAGGAAGATCCAATGCCTCTGGTCTCCATGGGCATGACATTCATGTGCACATACTCCCCCCGCACACATGTGCACATAATTAAAACAAAAATACATCTTGAAAAGAGAAGTACAAAGAGTTTAGGGCAATGGCTGGAGGAAACAAGCTGAAGGGGTATCCAGAGGGTGATCTAGGTTCAGGCCTGTGGCTCCTAAAGATCAGCATTCCTGATAGTGTCCATATCAGGCTGTCTTTAAGAGATGAGGTTCTAGAGCCAGCAAGATGGCTCAGCAGGTAAAGGCACAGTGGGTAAATGCACTTGCTGCCAAGCTAGATGACCTGAGTTCCATCCTTAGGACCTACATGGTAGAAGGGAAGAAATCACTACTGAAAGTTGTCCTCTGACACACACACACACACATACACACACACACACACACACACACACACACACTGTGGCACATGTGCACAGACACACAGACATACACAAAAACACACATGCACAATAAATTAAAAATAATTTAAAGCTGGGCATGGTGGTGCAGTCCTTTAATCCCAGCACCTGGGAGGCAGAAGCAAGAGGATCTCTGTGAGTTCAAGGCCAACCTGGTCCACATAGTGAGTTCCAAGCCAGCTGGGGCTACCGGGAGACCCTGTCTCAAAAAGACAAAAAAAATTTTTTTAGTTACAGAGACTAGGTTCTAGATCACAGAGACATGTATTTCTCTCCTAGCCCACTAAGTAGGAGCTGGATGAAACCCTGAGCAAGTTACTTTGCTTCTCTGAGTGGCAGAGTCCTGTGACAAAGTGAGGGTAGATGGCGGTGTCTCCCTTAGAGACCACTGTGAGGAGTAAACACAACAGTGATTGTTGTGATTTAACCCAGATCCTGGTGGCAATGGGAGAAGCAGTCAGAGGAAACACAGATACGTGGTAGAGGCTTTCACATTAGCATGTGGGGACTGGCTCATGGAGGGCCTTTTGCCACACTTCAAACTAACTCCATTTATCTCAGAAAACTGGGTAAGGAGGACAGACATTGGAGTCCACAATTGCAGGGCTTAGAGTTCACAGGGTCTCAGTTGCTCTTCCAAATTCCTGACCCCAAAGCACAGTCCTCTTCCTTCTCAGCTTCCTGGTGAGCTTGACTCTTGCCATATGAGGCAGTGCTTTCTGTGGTCAGATGATCAGTTAGCTGAAACTCGCCTCCCTGGTCTTCTACCTAGTCCTAACTTTTTGTTCTGGCCATAGGGGGGTATGTATCTGATGACTACTCACTCCTCTGAGGTAGCAGGAGAATGACATTTCTCCATGTCAGCACTTCCTAAGGTGCCCCTTCCAAGCTCCATCAGGTATGATGTGGCATGTTACCAACTGTCACCACTTGCTGGTATTGTGTATATACATTATCTTGGGTTTGCTCAACAATTTTACAAAGTAAGAGCTATTAAGATCGCTTCACATTTGAGTAAGCCTCAGTTTCAGAAAGCTCCAGCTCATAGGTATCAAAGCCATGCACGATGTAAACCCAGGTCTGCAAACTCTGGAGCCTCATGCTCTTGTCCCACTCTGAGAGCCAATCCCTTGAAAATCTGACTATGCTCTGCTTGTCCTGGGAGACACACAGCCCTAGATGTGCTCGGAGGAGAGTCCAGTGTAACCCACTTCCATTGGTCTAGATGCAACGCTACTTGAATAACCACATCTCTATTGGTTATGGTCGAACTTATGACCTGTGACCTTGTTTCTCTAGGCCTACCAAACCTTTCAGACCAGACCTTTCATTTTTTTGTATTTAACTACACCACTGACACTGAGACCTGAGGCTCATTATTGGAGACCTTCTTATAGGGTATCAAGAACTTATTTCCTTGTCACCCTGCCCACACGCCTGAGTTTTATATCAATCTAAAGAGGCCCAAGTCTTTGAGGAAAGAGTTTCTCTTCTCAAGCTCTGGGCCTGGGCAAAGGGGAGGGTTATTTCCCCTCCCACTCTGTTCCACAGACAGTCTGGCTCAGTCCTTGGCATCCCCAGTAAGAGCTGAACTCCTTTGGGGAGAGAGTGCACACCAAGGCACTCACTGGAGAATGAGTATTCATTGCACTGACAGTGTCCTGGCCTCACTGTAGCTTCTTAGCCTAGAGAGTTGGAATCTTCCTATATCACAGTCTTCCATGTCAGCAAAGCTGGAAGAGCCCAGTGTGATAGGGAGTGTTATACACCAACTCTTGTAGGGATAGAACCCCAAGTCAGTTTCCAGTGTCAGTCATAGAGACGTATATCCTTGTTTCTGGGTCTTGATGGTTGTAGTTGTGGTTTCTGCCACTATGGATTCCAGGAGAGCACATCATCCAAACCCTAATGGATTTTCACATGAACCCTAATCCAGGTCAGAGATTCCTCTGAAGTCTCCATTTTTCTGAGCAATGGTGCAGAGGGAACCAAGGATATTCACAGCATAGCCCTCTAGGCAGGGGCTCTGTCTTTCACCCCAGGGTGGTGATACCCAGCACAACCATGATCACTTGGTGCTTGTTCAGTGATTGAAAGAACCTGAAGGACAGTGTCTGTTAAGCCATGACAAGGGACCCTCAAGCCTCCTCTCATAGGTGACATCAGGGTAATGGAACAGAGCTAAAAGGAAGTGGGTACACCTCAGAAAAAGGAAGCAGAACTTCCTTTAATGGAGCTGGCTGTTAGTCTTGGAGCTGGCTTTCAGTCTAGGAGCAGAGAGGCATTTCCCTGAGGTGCCTGGGAGCTCTCCAAGGTGCTGAAACCAGCCCCCAATTTATTGTTGCTCTCTTCCACTGCAGGCCACCACATAGATTTCCACAATGGGACTCCATTGCTTGATCCAGACTTCTCTATGCTGAAGGAATGAGGCCCCTCAGCATCTCCCTGTCATGGTCTCCCCCACAGTATGCTACTGTACTCTATACTGATCCCCCAACTCATACTGGTTACATCACTGTAAGTTCAAAACTATGGCCTTTATAAAACTTCACATGGGAGCCTGAGAGGGTGGGCTCTGACCTCCATCAGTGTAGCAGCTGTGATCTCAGCAGACTGCCAGAGAGTTCTGGGTTCTTGCCTCCCTATGGCATAGGGGCTGAGACCACAGGGGACTGCCTGAGAGTGCCCGGATCCTGCCTCCATGTGGTGAAGGAAGCCTGAGTGTACCTGACTGGAACCTGACTTGGGCTTCTGTGGGTGCTCCTGAATAGCTGATCTGAAGCCATAATCCCCTCCAAAATAAAAACCGAGAGAACCTGAAACGGGTACCAACCAGCATTACATAACCAATAAGGAAAGGACCTAGGCACCCTGATAATACAAACAGAAGCATACTTCAACTTAATTCTCATATCAGAATCATAAACAACAAAAGTCACATACCATAATCTCAACAAAGGAATAATAAAATGGAAAGCCAAAACACTATGTCCCCACCAAACTCCACCAGTCCAGTAGAAGAGTTCTACAAGTAGAACCCCCTAGAAATAACCCAGGACACTGGATTTGAAAGAACAATCATAGCCGGGCATGGTGGCGCACGCCTTTAATCCCAGCACTTGGAAGACAGTGGCAGGTGGATCTCTGTGAGTTCAAGGCCAGCTTAGTCTACATAGTGAGTTTCAGGACAGCTGGGGCTATAGGGAGACCCTGTCTCAAGAAGACCAAAACAACAACAACAACAACAACCAAAAAAAACCAAAAAAAAACAAAAAGGAGAAAGGGAGCTGAGCACCGCATTCATTTCTCACTGATTCCTGTGTGTGGAAGTCCTCTGTGTGAGACCAACCACCTCATGTTCCTGCAGAGGGGCTTTCTCCACCATACTGGAAGATAAAGGTGAAGAATTGGACCACTCAAGCAAAAATTATAGAAAAAATTTTAAAAACACAGGAATGGAATATGCAAGAGATGTGGGACACCATGAAAAGACAAAATCTATGTATCATAGAAATAGAGGAGGGAGGAGAATTTCAGGTTTTGTCCAAGCAAAAAGGTTCATGTCAAGATAGAGCTGGGGGGGGGGTGGCTGGAGACATGGCTCAGTGGTTAAGAACACTGGTTGTTCTTGCAGGAGACCCGGGTTTGAATCCCAGCACCCACATGGCAGCAAACAACTGTCCCTAACTCCAGTCCCAGAGGATCTGACAGCCTCTTCTGACTACCCCAGGCATTGCACGACACAGGTGCACTTACCTACATGCAGACAAAACACACATACACATAAAATAAAATTTTAAAAAGTTATTTAGACAGTTATCTCTCATTGATGATTTGTTCTGAATCAGAAACTGCTGCTTAGATGTAAGACTTCAAATCTTGGTCTGCAATACTGTAGTGCCCACCTGTAGCTAAGGGAGACAACCCACTATTATTCTAAAATGATAGATAAATTTGTTTTCTCCCCCTATCTATAAGCCTTTGAGAGGGAATTGACACTGATTCTAACCACTCTAACAACTATCAAAAATGGATCTTCATGGTAAATCCAGCTCAGGGTGGCTATACCCATTGACCTCATGTTGATAGTTTCTGGGATCAGCTCTGGCCTGGCTCCTGGCCATTGAACTCATCCTATTTTCCTTTATGTTGCTGTGATAAAATACTCTAACAAAAATAACTTAGGAGGATAAAAGGGTTATTTTAACTCAAAATTCCAGGTTACAGTCTATCATATCAGGGAAGTCGTGGAAAACAGGAACTTGAAGGAGCTAGTCACATCACAATCAAGGCAGCTAGAGAGGGGCTGGAGAGATGGCTCAGTGGTTAAGAGCACTGGCTGCTCTTTCAGAGGACATGGGTTCAATTCCTTGCACCCACATGGCAGCTAACAACTGGCCATAACTCCAGGTCCAGGGGATCCGACACCCTCTTCTGACTCTGGGCATTGCACAACACAAATTCACTTACATACATGCAAGCAATACACTCATAAATGGAAAACAGTAAAATATTTTTTAAAATCGCAGAATGAATGCATGCATGTCACTACTCAGCTCACTTTCTCTACTTCCATACAATCCAGGACCCAAATCCAGGGAATAGTGCCACCCACTATTAGCATCAGTTAACCTAATCAAGACAATCCCTTACAGGCTAATCTTATCTAGAAAATTCCTCAGTGAGACTTTCTTCCCAGGTGATTCTAGATGGTGTCAAGTTGACAACTAGAACTAACCCTCACACCCACCTTAACATCAGGCATAATTAAACAGAAGACTCAAGGCAGAAGAACTTCTCATCCTTTCCTTAAGTGGCACCTTAGCCTCAGATCCCACCCTTACCATGGGTAGACTCAAATCTTCCAGGATTTAGATAATGCTTTCAAGAAAGTCTATGTCTTCTGTCACTCCCTAGGCCAGTGATCCTGAAGCCTTTCAGGATATCCATTTGGGAGAAAGATATGAGATGTCAGGGACAATCCCAGTGGTCTTCACATCTTCTCTCAAGGAACGAACTATTCACACCCAAACATCAGTCCTTCCTTTTGAGTATCAGCAAACCCCTTCTGGACAGACAGGCTCCTATTTACCCACAGCCCAAAGCCCTACTCAGGCATTCTGTGACAGACCTGTGAACATCCCCATCAAACCTGAGACTCCATAGATGTCAGCTTCCTCATGGCTGGCTTCTCCGTTTTTTTAGCTACTGAGGTCTTTGTCTTCTCTTTCTCTTTGGTCCTTTCCTGTTTCTCAAGCTCATCTACATAGGCATCATAGATTTCCCACTAGACAAGAGCAAGATAAGAGGGTGATCACAAGGCACAGCTTTTACCCAGCCAGTTTTGCAGCCTTTAGGAGTTGACTATATTAAACCCTGTAACATGTCCACTGCACCTTCTGCTTGGCTCATTGTAATTACATGTTCAAAGTCTATCTTATGAGCTAGACATGGTGGTACACACCTTTAATCCTGCACTAAGAAGGCAGAGGCAAGTGGATCTCTGTGAGAGCAAGGCCAGCCTGGTCTACATACCAGGTTTCAGGCCAGCTAGGACTACATAGTGAGAACCTGTCAAAAAAGAAAAAAAAAAAAAAAAGGAGAGGAAAAATGCCTTCCGCAGTGGAAACAGAATAAAGACACTGGCTCTCAAGCTGGCTGCCAACTGCAGCACTCACACCTCAATATTAAGAGATACACAGGTGTTCTTCCAACTGGACCTGAAGAAGGGAAGCTTGAGCACAGTAGTAGAAGCAGCAGCAAGAATCTGGGGCTGGGCAAATGCCACAGATCACAGAGCGCTTCCCAGATGGGCAGTCACTGCCACCTGGAGGCCAGATAGGCACACCTTACATTTAAAATTTTCACCATATGCCAGTAGGCTGCACTGAAAAGGACTCCAGCATTTGTTATTTCATTCGGAGCTCAACACCTCTGTGAGGAGCTTATCGGCTTTTATTGAAAAAATGAAACATTAAAAAAGAAGCTGAAACATGGTCTGCCCAGGATCTTACAGTAAGAACAGAAGAACTGGGGCCTGAGCTGAGGGTCTCCTAGCACCAAATCCTGTCCAAATCAGCACCATCAGCCAGGAGGGCTTGACAGGAAGGAGGAAGGTCTGTGAGAATTGCCATAAGTTGCTGTGAGGGCAGGTCAGCATGTTACCACTTCAAAGTCAGTACAGGGTATGACAGGCTCCTGAGAGCCATAGGAACAAGCATTCTCCCCTGTTCTGGGGGCAGGAAGAGAGTTCCAGAAGCCACATCTGTTTCTAGCATGGACAGCCTTGTTCTGATGTGACTGGTCCAGGGCTCACTGTTGGAAATACTGTCATGTGTACATTGTTAAGAGATTGAATGCTTAGGACACTGAGCAGAGAGGAGGATGGATAAGCAGGGCAGACTGCCAGGAAGTCCTTAGCCAGGCCAGTCTCCTCTGTAGCTGAATGTACCAAGATGCATGGGGGTGGGGATTGGGGATGGTGATGGATTTCAGGCTGGTCCAGTGTCTCACCTGATTGGCTGTGGCTGAAAAGTTTGTCCTAGGTGGGGGCTCCATCTGACATTCTCTGTCCTAGAGAACAATGATAACAGGAAACTCACAGATGGTCCCCAGCTCCCTGGCACTTAACCCAACAGTACATCTTTAGGAGAAGCAATTTGGTTAGAGCTAAGGAAGGGTGGGGGGGGAAAGCTGGGGAAGTAAAAAAGCCTGGTAAATGAAAGTCCACATTTCCCCCATTCTGGCCTCTTTCAGAAGCCTAAGGTAGAGAGCAAAGGCAGTGAAGTTCAATTGTGTCAGTTTAAACCAAGGTAAATTCTATGTGGGAGATGGACAGAACTACAAGAAGCGAGACTGGCCAGGCATGGTGGTGCACTCCTTTAGTCCCAGCACTCGGGAGGCAGAGGCAGGCAGAGCTCTGTGAGTTCAAGGCCAGCCTGATCTACATAATGAGTTCCAGGCCAGCAGGGGCTACAGAGACCCTGTCTCAAAAAGATTTTTTTAAAAAAGCGTTTTTTTAAAAAAAGAAGCCAGTCTGTCACCAGCCTCTAGACACAGGGCACAGAGGCCAGCCTCCCACAGGCTCTGGGGCTAAGCTAACATAAGACACTCCCTTACATGAGAAGGCATCTCCCTAATAATAGGGTCTCTGGGTCCACAAGTGTCTGTCCCTCCCCATTATGTATCACCCAGGTCACCCATTGTCAGCCTAAGGACCATACAGGGTGATGAAGTGTTACCCAAAACTTACCCTGTAGACCTTGCTTTCCATCATAGATGCATTGCTGTAGAACACTCATGTGTGTCAGTCTCTCACCTAAAACCCTGTCAGGTTCCCTCATCCTGGTTCTCAGGTTCCTCCATACTTACAAGTCAGGGAATTTTCTAGTTTTTTCCAGCAGGTTGAACACAGAGACCATCAACTTCAGTTGCACTGGTTTCAAGGCCCTTTATGCCCCTGGCACATTGTGGCCTCTTCTCTCCTCCCAGCTCCTGATTCTATTCCTTCAAAATCTGGTTGAAGTTTCAGTCTCTCAGTGGAGTTTTGAGGGCTCTATCTTCCCTCTGACTTGCCTAGATGACTTACAGGGACATGCCCTGGCTCTCCTTGGAAAGAGAAACTGTGGTCTGCCCTGTTACCCCTGCCAAATTCAGGCCTGCTGGGGCTGGTACCAAGCCTGTGTCTACCCAACCTCACACAGCATACAGCTTCAAAGTAAAGGGGCTGCAGTAGGAGACTCTACCCGAAGACGGTTGTTGAAGGTCTGAGATGCTCTTTCACTGAAGTTAAACTGGTTAGTGAGTTTTCGTTCCTTGAGTTGTACAGGAGCCATAAAATCTTCTTTTTCAGCTGCCTGGAAATAAAGACCAGGGGGGCCAGGACTTAACTGTGGGAGGAAGGCAGTGAACACTCAGGAGTAAGGGGAAGACCTGGTCTGGAGAGGATGGTGACAGGCGAGAAGATGCTTCCAGAAACATTAGCACATCACAGCCTCTGACTTCTCACCTTCTACTTCCCTCCTTCCCTGAGTCACCCCCAAAGCCTCAATCTACATCCAATCTGGAATGGAGGATCAAAAAGCAACACCATCCACACCTCAGTTGCAGCTGGCACATCTGTTTGGCTCCCAGCTTCAGTTTCTGGCTCTTTGGGTTCTTCATCTTCTTCAAGGACTTCTGTGTCTGAAGTTACCACCTTGGCAGACTCCTGTGAACCTTGAAAGGACACTGCTGATGAATTCAAGGTCCAAGCCTGCTCTCTCAATCCCTGGCAGGGAGGGCCATCTTGGTTTTTGCCATTCAAACCCTGCTTGTCTCTGGGGTTCTCCCTGGCCCAATGTCATGGGATAGCTCCCAGGTTTGTCCAGAACAACTTGCTATTAGAAATCATGCAAGAGGCCTTGCAAAATTCTGGCATAGTGACAAAATCCTCAGAATAGGCAGGCTTGGGACAGCAGCCTCAGGCTGGTCCACAGTCCTACCTGCCACCATCTCATCACGATAGTGCTGCCGCCGTCCTTCATCTGAGTCTTTCGGGATCAGGTTCCCGACCTGGCTGAAGTGAACTGCCAGTTGGTTCACAAAACCAACACCTTTATATGTGCCTTCCTAAAAAGAAAAGGACCTGAGTCAGATCAGGGATCCCCAAAGGGCTGATATCAGAATGTAGTCTTCCCTCATTCTTTAAGGCCAGGTAAGTTTATGTCTAATAAAGAAACTTTAACTCTCCAAATCCTTGGTTAACTTCATGTTTTCACTGCATCTCAGCTTAAAGAAGTAAAGGCCAATGAAATCAAGTTTTTTTTAAAGTTCTCATTGAGAGTTATTTTTAAGTACCTTCTGCTTCCGACCCAATGCAGCACCACATTTATCCATTACTGTTCCAGGTACCTTGTCTTCTACATCCATGCAAAAGGAACCTAGTTCACCTGCCTTAATGCAGACCAGGGGAACGTGAAGCATGATCATCAGACATACCTGGCATGGCCTTCTCACCATTCTACTTAGTGGATGCCAGAGAGAACAGACCATTGGAGACAACCGAATCTCCAGTCCCCCTATTTTTATCCAGGAAGACCACAAAAATCCAGAGAAAGTTTGGATTTGGCACGTGTTTCACACACATAGCAGATGAAAAACAAGATTAGGCTTCTAGCCCAGGAAATCATATTCATTCATGTCACAAACAATTTTTGAGAAACTGCTAGGTGCCAAGTATTTTCTAGGTGCCTGGGATACAAAGCTGAGCAACAGCAGACACAGTGCCTGCTTTCCAGAATTCCTATGGACATCTCCTTATGTATTGGCATCCTAGCAACCACAAACATAGACTTGGAGAACAGAGGCTCTTTCTTTCTTTCTTTCTTTCTTTCTTTCTTTCTTCCTTCCTTCCTTCCTTCCTTTCTTTCTTTCTTTCTTTCTTTCCTCATTGAGCCATCTCATTTATTTATTTATATGTGTATGAGTGTATAGCCTGCATGTGTGTAAGTACACCCATGTTGTGCATTGCCCTTGGAGGTCAGAAGAAGGCAACAGATTCACTAGAACTGTAGCTATAGATGGTTGTTAGCCACCATGTGAGTGCTGGGAATTTAACCCAGGTCCTCTGTAAGAGCAATCAGTGCTCTTAACCATTGAGCCATCTCTCCAGCCTCCCTTCCTCCTCTTTTTTTTTTTTTTTTTTTTTGGTCTTTTTGAGACGGGTCCCCCCTGTCGCCCTAGCTGGCCTGGATTCACTATAGAGACCAGGCTGGCCTCGAACTCACAGAGATCCGCCTGCCTCTGCCTCCCGAGTGCTGGGATTAAAGGCGTGTGCCACCATGCCCGGCTCCCCCTCCTTCCTTTTAAAACATTTTTTTACATCACATGGAAACTTTCTTTTATATCACACTGGAAAATAATTATATTTGTATCACACACTGGGATAAGGTCACAGGAGAGGAAAGCAGCCCAGGACTCCAGCTATACCAGACTCACTTACCCCTAGGGGGATAGTGGAATGTCCACTATCACAGAGGTTGGGAAGCTCTGCCTTAAAAAGTCACCATGAGCCGGGTGTGGTAGAACACACCTTTGATCCCAGCACTGAGGAGGCAGAGGCAGGTGGATCTCTGTGAGTTCAAGGCCAGCCTGGTCTACATAGTGAGTTCCAGGCCAGCTGGAACAGGGAGACCCTGTCTCAAAAAAAAAAAAAAAAAAAAGACCAAAACAAAGTCACCATGAAGCCCTTTCTCTCTCAGTAACCAAGACAGACAAAGAGATGGGAAAATGCAATGGTTAAGAGAATGGTCTGTGGAGGCCAGCAGAACTAGGTTCAAATCCGTAGCCTGTCTCTTATTATTTTCATGAGCTTGACTCAACCTTCCCAACACCCTAGTTTCTTCTAATATCAAATAAGATAATGATACCTAATTTGCAAGGTAGCATAATTATTGGCAATGAGAACAATCCATTAACACAGAGCCTAACACGTAATAAATGCTAAATATTAATGCTCAATAAAACAGTAGCTAATGTTATGATGATGGAGGTTCCAAGGGGAATAAATTGTCCATTTAGTTGTCATTTAAGATTCACCTCCATCCTGTCTCCAACAGCTGACTGGGAACTTCCTTTTCAATTTAGGAATGGAATTCTGATTCTAAATTGCTTCTGTGAAAGGAGGGAAAGCAAGTGCAGATCAGAATCTTTGCCTCTGCTTTCTACCACATCAAGGGAAAATAGAACTTTGGAGACTTACAAATTTTGGGTCTTTCAGGGCCAACAAGATAGAGACCAACCCCGTGGGAGGATGCTAGACAGGCTTAGGAAGCCATTGAAAGGCTAGATAAGGTGAACTTTCCTGGGAGCCCAGGGCTACCAGCTGGCAATTCACTCAAAGAAAGAGTATGTTGAAACTGAAAAGGCAACATCGACCTCACCTGGTGCACTCTGCCATAGCCAGCTCACTGAGTCCTAGAGGGACCCTCTTTCTGATGTCAAGACAGGAGACAAGAAAGTGGACCACATTCTAGCATAACATCATGGAGCATAAGACAGCTTCCCATTGACCTTTACAAACTGCCAAAGGAGGCCATTACCAAGACTCTTGAATAGCATCTTTTTGGAATAGCATCTGGATTTATTTCAACATCTTTGTAGAGGGGCTGACTACACAATCTAAAAAAGAAGCAGTATGTTCACGAAAATGTTCACAAAGACATACACAGATGTTCAGAGCATTGTTATTCATAACAGCCCAAAGAAGAAATAATCCAAATGTCTATCAACTGATAAAGAAAATGCAGCATATTCATAGAATAGAATATTATTTGGTAATCAGAAAACATGAAGTACTGACATATGCTACAACAACATGGGTGAACTGAAAGCATTATGCTGGATGAAAGAAGTTCATCATAGAAGACCACAAATTATATGACTCCATCATGTGACACGTCCAGAATAGGCAAGTCTAGAGACAGAAAATAAGTTAGTGTTTTCCAGGGCTGCAGGAGATGAAGGATTGAGTAGTCACAGGTATGAGGGAGGGGTTTCTTGTACAGAAAATAAACATGTCCTAAACTGGGAGTGTGGTATACACCTGTAATCCTAACACTCAAGAGGTAGAGGCGTAAAGATCAGAAGTTCAAGATCATTCTCTGCTACATAGCTAGTCAAAGGCCAATTTGGATTACATGAGACCCTGTCTCTAAAAAAAAAAAAAAAACACAGACAAAAAATGGCTTGAAATGGATTGTGTCAATAGCTGTATAATCTGTGAATAAATTAAAAGCCATTGAACTATAGGGTGTGTGAACTGTATCTCAATAAAACTGTCTTTAAAACAAAGAAGCCAAAAGTAATAGTACACACCTATAAAACCAGAATTTGAGAAGCTGAGACAGGAAGATCATGAGTTTGAGGCCAGTTTCAGCTATCTAGTGAGAGCCTCTTTCAAAAAATAAATAAACAGGGACTGGAGAGATGGCTCAGCAGTTAAGAACACTTGTTGTTCTTGCAGAGGACCCAAGCTCAATTCCCAGTTTCCTCATCAGGCAGTTCACAGCTACCTGTAACTCCAGCTACAAGTGATCCAGAGCCCTCTTCAGGAATCCTTGGGCACCTGCATACAGTTGTGTACATACATACAGTCAGGCACACACATAAAATAAAATAAAACCTTTAAAAATAAAACAAAAAACTGGTTTCCTCCCCTTCCCCACCCTAGGGAAAAGGACATGGAACAGATGGAGTTTTGATTTTCACCATTTTTTAAATCTTTTCAAATTTGTACTGTGGATTTCTGCTGTATATTCAAATTTTTTATTGTCGAGGCAGAGTCTCACTGTGTAGATACAGACCAGGCTGACCTCAGTCATACTGTAATCTTCCTGTTCCTGCCTCCCAAGTGCTGGAACTGCAAGTGTGAGCCACCATATCTAGTTACTTTAAAAAAAAAATTTTTTTTTATTTCATTTTTTACTTTATGTGTATGAGTGTATTGCCTGCATGTATGTGCGTGCACCCATACAGTGGAGGTCAGAAGAAGGCGTCGGATTCTCCTGAAACTGGAGTTAAGAACAGATCCTAGCTGCCATGTGGGTGCTGGGAATCGAACCCAGGTCCTTTGCAAGAGCAGTCAGTGCTCTTAACCACCAAGCCATCTCTCCAGCCCCCTGGTTACTTTTTTTTTTTTTAAGAAATATAATCTTGTTTTGGAGTCAGACAAACTAGTTCAAATCTTGCTTTGAATTCTGGTTGTGTGACTTTTGTCATTTGTTTTATGTAATTTAATCTCAGATTCCAAAAAAATGAAGATAATAGTTCTGATATCAAAGAAATATGAGGATTATATGTGATAGTCTATGTAAGACCAAAAAAAAATATCCAACACAGGATCTGACACTGGCACACAGAAAAAATGGAACAAAAGTGTCTCAAAGTGAAGAAACAGAGGTATGACTTCTGCTTTAACTCAAGAGAACTCTGAAACTCTCTTTAGTACTCATAGGAGCTGAACCTGCTATGACTTAAAACATAGCATTGACTCTTATAGAGACACACAGATGTATCTAAGAACTCATCCACACCACAGTTACTAAAAGATGGCCCCTGACAGTCACAGGCCTGCCTAGCTAGCATGTCAAGTGAATCTAAGCACACAGCCTTCTGGAAATTCCTCTCAGGAGGGAATAGCCTGTGTGGGTATAAGGCCAACATCTTGTTCAGTGGACTCTGTACTCTACCCAGGTGTCTGGGTGGAAGAAAAGTTAAGCTTCCAAAGATCCAATAGTTTGTGTTAGTGGAAAATGTGTTCTACATTAGAAAAGCATCTTTCTAACCAAATAAGTCAAGATTCTTAAAAATAAAAATAGACTAGGGGCTGGAGAGATGGCTCAGTGGTTAAGACCACTGACTGCTCTTGCAGAGGACCCGAGTTTGAGTCCCAGCACCCACATGGTGGCTATGAACTGTCCTTAACTCCAGTTCCAGGGGATCCGACGCCCTCTTCTGACCTCCGCAGGCATTGCATGACATGGGTTTATCTACCTACATAAGGCATTACACTCATACACATAAAATAATAATAATAATAAATCTTTTAAAAAATAGACTGAAAGGTTGGGGATATAGCTGAGTGGTAGAGCACTTGCCTAGCATGTGCAAAGCCCTAGGTTTAATGAGTTCAGTCCCTACCACCACAAGAAAAGAAAAGTAATCCTTCAGGGTGCTTAAGGCGTTGGGATTAGCAAGACTTCTAGGAAGATTCATAAAGAAATTGCAAAAGGTCTGGTAAGATGGTTTAGCTGATGGGGGTGCTGGCTGCCAAGGTGGACAATCTGAGTTCTGTCCCTGGGCTCTAGATGGTGGAAGGAGAGAACCAGCTCCCAAAGGTTGTCCTCTAACCTCTACACATGCTATGGCATTTTCTTTCTTACAATGCACACTAAATACATAAAAAGCAATTTAAAAATTTTTTTTGTCTTTTTGCGACAGTCTTCCTTTAGCCCCAGGTGGCCTGGATTCACTATGGAGACCAGGCAGGCCTTGAACTCACAGAGATCTGCCTGCCTCTGCCTCCCAAGTGCTGGGACTAAAGATGTGTACCACTAAGCCTGGCTAAATTTTTTAAAATAAAAATTTAAAATATCTGGAAAACTCCATGTAAATTCCCAAGATTCTAGTCAAAGACCCCAGTTTACAAGTGATCTCTTGTAAAATAGGCAGGAGGCTTTTGTAATATGAGCAGTCACTGTCACCTCAAGGACATGTTGGAGGCCTGGGCAGGAAGGGATGACTTACTTTGAAGCTGTACCTGACAATATTCTGGGGTGCATGTGGGTTGTTGGCTGTCAAGATCCGAGTGAACTCCTCTTTTAACTCCTAGGAGAGAGAAATACCAAGATGGTCATGCATGAAGCCCCTCTCTCACCACCTCCTCTGAGACTTAGGGCCCCCAGGGGTACCAGCAAGCTCTGTGCAGGCTTTAATCTGTATTATGAAGAACCCAACTCTGAAGCTGGGGTGGTAGAAGAAGTAGGGATTGGAGGTTTCTCACTCACTGCATCAGTCAACTCTAGCTGGTCTGGGGGTCGAACTGCAGATTTGGACTGGGACCACTCATCAGTTCCTTCTCCTACTTCAGTCCCTGAGTCTTCATCCTAGACAAAAAATAGAGGAGGGTCAGAAGTGCCCAATCTGTTTTGACAAGCAAGTAATGCTGCAGGAACCACCTTCATTCACAGACCCTCCGAGAAGCCAAGTTCTACTTACTGTACACAGACTACAAAACGTCCAACAGACCACTCACGGAAGACTTCAAAGGAACTGCTCAGCCCAGAATTCTCAATGCCTTGAAGATCATAACCACTTCCACCATGGGGTTCATGGCTTCATTGAAACATTATGGTGGGCCTTTATCCCTAGTAGGGGATCAGAAGAGCAGCTCTCCCTACTGCCTTTCACAAAGCCTACAAGCTGAGGTCCAGCTGCCAAAGGCAGAGCTTTAATGCAAAGAGGCTTAGATATCCAGAGAAAATGCCAACCTGTTTTTTGACTAGTACTATTCTAATTGCCACATTCAGATTACTTTTTTTAAAACATGACTCTTAAAAACAATAGTATCTCAGGGCTATAGAGATGGCTCATGGTTAAGAGCGCTAGTTGATCTTGCAGAGGACCCAGGTTGGATTGCTAGCACACATGGTGGCTAACAACCATCTGTAACTCCAATTCCAGGGGATCCGACACTCTTTTCTGATCTCCTTAAAAAAAAAAATTTTTTTTTTTTTTTGGTCTTTTTGAGACAGTGTCCCTATAGCCACAGCTGACCTGGAATTTCCTATATAGACCAGGCTGGCCTCACACAGAGGCCAACACCATCTCCTGATTGCATGACACGGGTGCACCCACCAACATGCAGGCATTACACTCATACACATAAAATAAAAATAATAAATAAAATACTTTTAGCCGGGCGTGGTGGTGTACACCTTTAATCCCAGCACTTGGGAGGCAGAGGCAGGTGTATCTCTGTGAGTTTGAGGCCAGCCTGGTCTTCATAGTGAATCCAGGCCAGCTGCAGCTACAGGGAGGCCCTGTCTCAAAAAGACCAAAAAAAATTTTTTTTAAAAGCAATATTATCAGTCTGGGTGTGGTGGCCCACCCCTGTAGTCCCAGCACTTGGGCGGCAGAGGCAGGCAGATAGATCTCTGAGAGTTCAAGAGCAGCCTGGTCTACGTAGTAAGTTCCAGGCCAGCTGGGACTACAAGGAGACCCTGTCTCAAAAAAGACCAAAACAAAAAACAAACAAAAAACCATAATATTGCCAGACGTGGTGGCGAATGCCTTTAGTCCCAGTACTCGGGAGGCAGTGGCAAGCTGATCTCTGTGAGTTCAAGGCCAGCCTGGTCTATATTGTGAGTTCCAGGCCAGCTGGAGCTACAGGGAGGCCTGGTCTCAAAAAGACAGAAAGAAAGAAAGAAAGAAAGAAAGAAAGAAAGAAAGAAAGAAAGAAAGAAAGAAAGAAAGAAAGAAAGAAAGAAAGAAAGAAAGAAAGAAAGAAAGAAAGAAAGAAAGAAAGAAAGAACTTGTACTTTACTACTTTAAGTCAAAAGTCAAGGACTAAAAACTTTGCCTTGCTTGATAGACAGTTAAATATCTTGCCAAAGTGGCCATGAAATGTTTTGGGGGTTGTTTTTTTTTTGGCTTTTTTTTTTTTTTTTTTTTTTTTTTTTTTTTTTTTAGAAGACAGAGTCTCCCCATAGCCCCAGCTGGCCTGGAACTAACTATGTAGATCAAGCTAGCCTTGAACTCACAGAGATCCTCCTGCCTCTACCTCCCAAGTGTTGGGATTAAAGGCATGTACCAGTAGGCCAGGCAATTTTTTTTTAATATTTATCAAAAACATTCAAAATAAAGCAAGAAATTTTCATTATAAAATTGGAAAACTTGGGGCTGGAGAGATGCTTCAATAGTTAAAAGTACTGACTGCTCTTGTAGAGGACCTGGGTTCTGTTCCCAGCACCTTCATGGCAGCCAACAACTGTCTTTAACTCCAGTTCTATGGAATTCAATGCCCTCTTCTGGCCTCCTTGGGTACTGTATGACACTGGTGGACTTACACACATGTAGGTAAAATATACACATAAAAAAATAAATTGATTAGCTGGGCATGGTGGCACACGACTTTAATTTCAGCATTTGAGAGACAGAGGCAGGCCTCTGTGAGATTCAGGCCAGCCTGATCTATATAGGGAATTCCAGGTCAGCTGTGGCTACAGGGAGACCCTGTCTCAAAAAGACCAATAATAACAATAATAATAATAATAACTTAGTTAAATAAATAAATAATTAAAAATAAAGTTTAAAATTAAAAAATAGACTGGAGAACACCCAAGCGAAGAAGACTAGCGCTCACTACGGAAGGCAGGACCCAGGTATGAGCACAGCCTTTTATTTACTTATTTATTATCTTTGGTCTTTCTGAGATGGGATTTTCTTGTAGCCCCAGCTGGCCTGGAACGCACTATGTAGACCTTTGTCTTAGTTTGTTCTTCATTGCTGTGACAAAACACTCTGACCAGTACCAACTTGGGGAGGAAAGGGTTTATTTGTCTTACATCTCCCAGATCGCAGTTCATCAGGGAGCCCAAGGTAGGAACTCAGGGCAGGAACCTAGAGGCAGGAGCTGAAACACAGGCCATGGAGGATAGCTGCTTACAGGCTTGCTCCCTCGGCTCCTGCTCAGCCTGCTTTCTTATGCAACACAGGCCCACCTGCCCAGGGATGGCACCACCCACAGTGGGCTGGGCCCTCCCACATCACTCATCAAGAAGATGCCCTTCAGACATGGCCACAGGCCAGTCCAATAGAGGCAATTTCCCAATTGAGGCTCCCTCAACCCAGGTGTGTCAAGTTGACACTAAAGCTATCCAGCACAACCTTGAACTCACTCACAGAGATTCGCCTGCTTCTGCCTCCTGAGTGTTGATATTAAAGGCAAGCACCACCACGCCCAGCAAGAGCACAGCCTTTCTAAAGAACATTTGGAAATATTTACCAAAACCTCATAGCTGTTCATATTCTTTGACTCAAGCTAGCTTTAAAAGATTTACTTTATTTTTAATTGTGTGTGTATGTGTGTGTGTGTGTGTGTGTGTGTGTGTGTGTGCGTGTGTATTGTGAACATGAGTACAGGTGACTGCAGAGGCTAGAGGTGTCAGATCTCCTGGAGCTGGGGTTATAGGCAGTTGTGAGTCACTCAGTGTGGGTGTTGGGAACGATACACAGGTCCTCTGGAAGAGTGGTATGTGCTCTTAACCACTGAATCATCTCCAGCCCTTGACTCAAACTTACATGTAGGAATTTATATTAAGGAAATAACCAAAGACATGCTCAGAGATATAGGTATATGAATGTTCATCAGAGGGTTAGTCATAATAACAAAAAGGAATTATCTAAGCATTTCCTCTAACGTGAGGAACTAAGTATGGTATGACCTTAAGGAACATATGGTAAAATATTATACAGTAATTCCAAATGATACTATAAAAGCATATTAGCAATGGAAGAAAACCTAAACTTTTACATGAAAAACATGTCATAATATACACCATTTTATTCCATTTAAAAATAAATACAGATAATTTTTTTTGTCTCTTTTGAGACAGGGTATCCCTGTAGCCCCAGCTGTCCTGGAACTCACTATGTAGTCCAGGCTGGCCTTGAACTCACAGAGATCCGCCTGCCTCTGCCTCCCGAGTGCTGGGATCAAAGGTGTGCGACTGCGCCTGGCAATATAGATAATTTTATATATGCATAAAAATATCCAGGAGGCTATAACATCACATTAATTAAAAGATATCTTAAGGTAGTAGGTTTGGATTCTCTAAAAATATATAGATAATATTTTCAGTAGAAGAAAAATGCTATTAGCATCTTGTTGAGAGACTGGAGCTCTCAGCACTTACTCTCTTCCTGGATCCTCTGAGAATGTTGAAACTCTGAGGGAAAAAGAACAGAGGTCAGTCATAAGTGAAGTGACATGGGAATATCATGAGCAGCATCAGAGCGAGGCTTCTGCCCAAGGACCTTGCAGCAAAGAACTTGAGCTTTCCCAAGTCTCAGAAACAGTATGGGAGCCACTTTCAGTGGCAGCTGGTGCCTCTTAGCTGACAAGGAGGTCCTGTGTCTGAGGTAGCCCTGTTCTAGCATCAGCAAGACCAACCTATGAAGAATAACCAAGTAAACTTAGCACTGGGCATTTCTTAATTGTAATTAGTTTAATGAAATTCTTTTTTGGTATTTTTGAAACAGGGTCTCCTTGTAGCCCCAGCTGGCCTGGAAGTTGCTATGTAGAGCAGGCTAGCCTCAAACTCAAAGAGATCTGCCTGCCTCTGCCTCCCCAGTGCTGGGATTAAAGGCATGTGCCACCACACCCAGACTTCAATGAATATATTTTTTTTAATTTTTATTACTTTTATGTGTATGCATGTATTGCCTGCATGTAGGTAAGTGTACCCATGTCATACAATACCCGTGGAGGACAGAAGAGGCTGTCAGATCCCCTGGAACTAGAGTTACAGACAGTTGTTAGCTGCCATGTGGGTGCTGGGATTCAAACCCGGGTCTTCTGCAAGAACAACCAGTGTTCTTAACTGCTGAGCCATCTCTCCAGCCCCTAATGAATATTTTTAAGGTATATGTATGCTAAGGCTTGGGGAATGTAGCTCAGTTGGCAAAGTGCTTACCTAGAATGCATGAAATCCTTAATATCACATAAAACCAGGTATAGGAGCCGTAGATGGCTCAACAAGTAAAGGCACTTGCCACCAAATCTGACAACCTGAGTTTGATCCCTGGAAACCACATGATAGAAAGAGAATACACTCCCACAAGTTGTTCTCCATATGCATGCTGTGTCACAAATGTGTGCACATGTGCACACATACACACAAAATAAATAAATGAAAAAAATCAAACCAAACTGAACCAAACCAAACAAAAAAAGAAAACAGGGTCAGGTGGCACATACCTGTAATCCCAGAACTTGTGAGGCAGAAGCAGGCAGATCTCTATGAGTTTGAGGCCAGCCTGGTCTACATAATGAGACTGTCTCCAAAAAACAAACAATACAAACAAAAAAACCCCAGGTGCGGTAGTAGAGGCTTGTATTCCCAGCACTGGGGAGGGGAAGGCAGGAAGATGAAAAGTTCAAGGTCATTCTTGGCTACATAGCAAGTTTGAGGCCAGCCTGTGTTATACAAGACCCTGTCTCAAAAACAAAATAAAGTAGCCAGGCCGGTGGTGCACGCCTTTAGTACCTGCAACTAGGAAGGCAAGCAGATCTCTGTGAGATCGAGGTTGGCCTAGTCTACATAGCAAGATCCAGGCCAGCTGGGGCTACAGGGAGATCCTGTCTCAAAAAGACCAAAAATAAATAAATAATTAAATAAATAAAATAAAGTATATGCTAAGAGTTCAGCTCTAAGGCAATATGAGGATTTCAAAGGCACATTATATTCATAAACACTTTGGGGGGATCAATATAAGCTCCTTATGAGCAGGTACTTTGCCTTGAATGCTGCTGTATCCCCAGCATCTAGAAGTCTCAAAATACAGAAGGTGTTCAAATTACTTACAGAATGCATTAATGAATTCTATCAAACCTCATTAATGATCATAACCTTGGGAAAAGGTTTTTCTCTCTTGGCTTCAATTTCTTCATCAGTAACAGGTACAGGATAGGATATGATAATCTCCAGTTCTCTAAGCTCAAATGTTATGTTCTCAAGAACATATGGTTTGAATGTTCTCCCCAAAGTTCACATATTGTAAGCCTGGTCCCCAGGTTGGGTACTAAGAAGTGATAGGATCTTTAGGAAATGGGGCCTAGTGGGAAGCCCTGGGGCCACTGAGGCATGCCTTCAAAAAGGATTAAGGCAGCTCTACAATCTACCTGTGGTAGTTCTCAGAGAGAATGGTTATAAAGGGAGCAAGTCTGGAACCCCCTTCTCTCTCTGCTTCCAGGTTCAAGATGTGATGCTTTCTCCTGTACAAGCTCTGCCATGAGGTCCTCACCAGAGCAGATCTGATGCAGGAGCAATGCCCTCGAGTCTCCAGAACTGTAAGCTAAAATAACCTCTTTTCTTCAAAAGTTTTCTGTCTCCAGTATTTTGTTATAGTGACAGAAGCTGTCTAACATGAGCAGCATGCTCAGTTCAACTTGATAAACATTGTGGAGCATCTATTTCTGTGTCGTGAACTACCTAAGCAGTCGGACAATGACCCTATCCCCCCAAAATGATGAAGTCCTGCCCCAGTTTCCTTAGAGTCCATGGAAGTTACGTATATGGGATCAGTGCCCATCACTCACCCACTTAGAATATATTCTTTTAAAAGCTAATTCAGGGTGCTGTAGGAGTATGCGGGTGGTACCTACCAAGCTTGAGGTGCTCAAGAAAGATTCCAGAGGTGGCCATCTATCAACGAGTGTCAAAAGGACAAGACTAAGTGGAGATGTTTTATAAAAGGGAAAAAGCAGGTAAGAGAAGAGTGATGAGAGACAATACAACGTTCTACCCAACAAAAGTCTCAGAAGCAAAATCTGGAAGTTAGAGTTGACACTCTGTCACATTCTTACAATGACAAAGTCTTTGGGACTTGGATGGTGAGGAGGAGAAAAGGGATTCCAAGAGAAGAAAAAAAAAAACACATCACAGCCAGGGCTGGAATTGTGGTGGGGAGGGCAGGCAGCAGGATTCAGATTTCTGCCAGGTTGCCAAGGTTTCCAGTGATGGGAACCCTTTTCTGAGTCTAGGCCCCTATGGGCTTTCCTTTGAAGAGCCTCTGATCCCTAAGGTAATGGGATGGAAGCTTCACAATATGCAACAGCTTTCTGGCCCACAACAGAGCACTGGAGGGCCAATCCCAACCCAAACCACCTGCCTTAAATAGAAAATGAGATCCAGTTACCACTGCCCCCTGTAAATATGTCTGTAAAACATTTATCTGGCAATAAAAGAACTGACAAGGCAATTTGAGTGTAATTGTTTTTGGCAGTTGGAAATATTTCAATTAACACACTATAAAAGCCACACTATAATAAATGCAAAACAGGCCAATGAAATCAACTACAGCCCTCACCTCCCAACCATGGCAAAGGAGATTGAATGTCAGGCTGCCACTTTGGGCCCTTGGTCTTCCAGAAGGAGAAGCCTGAGACAGACAAGCCTGAATTCCTGAAGAGCTTTTGATGGTTGTTTCCAGAAGCCATCAAACCACAGAGGAAGAAAGCCCAGGCCCCTTCCCCAGGCGCTCAGAACTCTATCATCTGGCCCCCCATCTCCATTCCAGCCTGCTCTCCTACCCCTCCTCTACTAGGACTTTGAGGGGTAATCTATGATTCTCAGACCCTGAGCCTGACCTCAGCCTTCCCAGTCCCCTCCTTTGCTATTATTGCTGCTTCTGCTAGGAACATCAGCTCTTCTTTCCCCTTCTAGCTCCTGAGGCCTGTGCCTAAGGATCTCCTACCCACCTAGCATCGCCTTTACTTAATTCCTCTTGACCTTACCACCTTTACCCTGCTTCCCTCCACTCTTCCTCTCCTCAGTCTAAGCAGGCTCTCCACCACCTTTTAGTACCACAATGGTTGAGATTAAAGACCCAATTTGTCTTTTAATAGGCATCTATTGTCTCTGGGTTTTGGTTTCCTAAAGAGGACAGTACTATGAAAAGAATCATAATACTGCAGTATTAATGGGAAGTAGTTTAGAAATTCCAGCACTGGAGGGCCCCTAATTGCATGCTGTTGACCAAAGAAGGCCCTTCTTCTCTTGGACAAGCTATTCTATTTGACCAAGCAAAATCATCTATGAGGGAGGGAGGGAGCAGCTCATCTAGCCCCTATGGGAAATAAACAACCTAGCCCCGGTCATTAGTGAGATAACAGACATCCCAGCCTGACTGCCTTCACAGCTGATCACTCTTCTATTCCCATTGCCTACCTGCATTTGGTTTCCCTGGCTCCAGTTTCTGATCCCCCCAACACCCTGTGATTATATCAGTGTCACTGTTTTCAGCAATTGAGCACTTACTGTGGGTGAGCCACTTACTAAACTACTCATGTATATTATCTCATTTAATCTTTATTATCAACCTATGTGGGCAGAGCCATCATTATCACTACTTTACGGATAAGGAAAACAGGGCTTAGAGAGATGAAATAGCTGGTCACTAATTGACAGAATCTGAAACTGTATTTTGGTCACTATTTACAGTCTTCCTAAAACATAAACCTGATCATGTCACTCTCTTGATTTGAAGCCTCCAAGAACTCCCCACCAGTTATGAGACAAGGCCCAAGCGCCCCTCCCCCTATCATGACCTATTCCTTTCCTTTCCATAGCCACACTCAGTCACCTGTGTGTCTGGTGGTCAGATATGCCCCCCATAGCTTTGTCTGCCACGGGACAGTGGCTAACCTGGGAGAGGTTGCCCACATAAAATGACTTCTCTCCTGCATGAGTGGCAGGTGCTGTGCCCAGCTGCAAAGCTGTGTCAAATGAAGCCCCCGAGACAGTCCAAGACGCAGGACAAGGAGACAGATGAGGAAGAGAAGGCAGGAAGGAAAAGAGGAGCAGAGGAAATCTGAGGAGCTAAAAGTGAAGGACTCGGGGAAAGGCTCCTGGCCACACATGGACTTAAGACACCTGACAAAAAGTAAGGTGTTCCCTGTGCCTGAGATGATGGTAGCTCTTGGTTCCACTTCTATTTAAGCATCTGGATTCTTTGCATAATGACATGTCTTGGAGTCTGTTGTACATTTAAGAATTAGCTTCTATAAAAGAAAAAACAGTCTCTTTCTCCATGTTATGTGGCCCGTTTCCTGAGTCATTTGACTTCACTGCTCTATGCCAAGCATCTTGCTCCCTTTCCTCAATACCACCAACCATGACGTCTGGCTGCAATTAGCACCCTTCTGTCAGGCCAGCCTGTTGTGAGT